AATATCCCTACTACCTTCTGACATGTGCAAAAGCAGACAAGCTATATGAATTGGTTAGTCGTTGCCAATACGATTCTTTTGATTTGGTGCACTGAAGAGACTTAAATCAAGCTATCATGTGAATTTCATAATAACACATCAATACAATGTGGAATGAAGAGGTACAGACAAGAAGAACAAGTAATCAGGTTGTACATCTAATAGCTCATATAGAATGTAAATAGAATGCTTAATGACATATAAATAATTTTTTTTTCATACCATATTTATGAATTTATTGTATGTATGATTTAAATATTAGGTAAAAATAATTTATGTAAATTATTGCAAAAAATTCTTATAATGTTCTTTTACAATAGATTGGTATAATATTAATCATCTGAAAAAAAAAAAAAAACATTGCGAACCTATAGTTCACAGATATTTTGAAGGGTTTACCGTTTTAGAAATCGATATTGGATAGAATAATTTTCACACGAAAAGATTTGTAACATTCTTTAATTTTTTTTCTATATTACCAAGTAAGAGTGTTTGGTTATTGTGAAGTTGACATTGTCAATTGAGAAGTTGTTGATGATTGTTGATTCTCATGAACAACCATCTTTCGGCTATGTATATGATGGAATAAATAAGATCAAGAGTACCATGATGTGACTAATGAAATTGATTTCGACATTACACAAATTGTTGAAGCAATAGAGATTGATATGGATGGTTTATCTTTGAGGATGTTTGATTGTGTACTATGATATTTAGGTATTAAACTATGAATGTTTAGGTGATGTTATTTGTTGGATTCAACTATGAACATTTAGATGTTCGCATTAAATTGTGTATCTATATATGAACATTTGTGAGTTTGTTTTTAATGTTGTCTTTTGTTTAGATATGATGTAGATTCTAGAAATATTATCTTAAGATAAGTTATTTATAATTGTACCCAAAATATTTGTTAAAAAACGACATAAACTAGTTCTAACACGATTAAATCATTCCATTTGTAAAACTGGCGTACCAGGTTAAACCGGGTTGACAATCATGCATGGTTGTCGTGCTGTCCGGTTGAACCGGTTTCGATTATGAAACCTGCATTCAACCAGTTCCGGTTATGAAACCTGCATAAACACCTCTGGTATGACCGATATGATCGATTAACAAACTCTCTAAGTAAAATGACATCGTTTTAGTAAATTTGATTGATAAAAAATAAATTTATTATATGTTTTATGAATATGAAAGTTCAAAATTGATGTAATTTGCTGGATTCAGGTATAAAGCTTTAAATATTAAAGTTAAATGTCGTGTTCAAATAGGAGTATTTGTTATTTTATTTAAAATGTTGTATATTATTAAGTCATATATTATTAAACCGGTATGAACCAACACAAACTAATTGTACCACTAATAGCACCATTCAACTTGTAGGTATAAACCGGGTTGACAACCTTACAAGTTACAATCATTATGGGTGTTCAAACGGTGTGGTTACCGTGATAACCGTTTTAACCGATAGTATTTGACTAATATGGTTTGGTTAATTTGGATAATTGGTTTGGTTTGGTTAAAAAACGTAGTTTGTTTGGTTTAAGAGGTTTAGTTTGGTTTCAGACGTTCCTAACCAATCAAACTAAATTAACCAGTTAATTAATTATCCATATACCTAATATATATTATATACACATACTTAATACTTGGCATAACCACTCAAGAGCCAAACATTCCTTCCTTTTAGGCTCATCGACAATAAAGCTCAATATTGTTCCTATACTCTGTATATTCGTATTTGTAGAGTGTAGACCATGATATTTGAAAGCCCAATTTAGATAAAACTCCTACAACATATTAGATGAAAACTTGAAAGGAAGGTCTTTTCAACCTATGATAATTGCTACCAAATGAATCGAGAATTCATTTCATTGTAAAATGAATTACTGAGTAGAATTCATTGTCAAATGAAATTTTGTGTTTGATATGTCATATTCAAATCTTTAGAAATAACATGAATTGTCATGTAGAATTCATTGTCAAATGAATTCCTGTGTTTGGTATGTCATATATATAATTAATGTAGTTAATAAAGATGATAATTATGTCATTCTATTATAATTAGTAAATACTTGTGGAATTCATTTGAAAATTCCATCTCAATTTCGTGGAATTGCTATAACTAGTTCCAATTCCATAGAATTCAAAATTTAGAATTGAAAATGAATTCTTTTAAATACCAAACACAAAAATGTTTCATTTCAAAATGAATTCTTCAAAACTTATTGAATTCATTTATACCAAACAGTATGTAAGGGACTAATTCAATTCACTAGAAAAAAGACTAAGAAATAAAACACTCAGCCGAGAGCTTCTAGCTCTGCGTGAACTAGTCTCCTTGTGAAGAACACGAGACGAGCTCCCCACAGTCGGCAAAGACTACTGTTTTGGTACCATTCTTTCTTCCAAACTCAGCGACCCTGATGCATGAATAGGAAACAAACCACACCCAATCGGCGACTACTCCTCATCGCCAGGGAGATGTCTAGCGTCCAATGGTCTCAGTTTTGTTTCGATTTTGGGTCTGTTTTTCTTGGTTTTACGGTTTTGGATGCAAGACATGCAAATTGTTCTCCATTCCAGCTTCTATTTCTCCTGGGGATTCTGCGGTGAAGTTCACAACGCCAGCGGCGGCGAGACTATGTTAAAAAACCCGTACTTGAACACCACTTAGTTGCCATCGCCAGTGTCTAGATTCTATGTCTGCAGCACCACTTCTCTTCACACGTGCCTGTCCGGAGTGCCAGCATTTGTCTCGGTGGTGATCATTCCGATCTATTCTTTCCAATCCTAGTTCCATTGGTCGCGCTGTTTGGATTTGCGTGGGCCTCTCTGGTCATTCTCCATCCTCCATCGGTAGAAATTCAGGTATTTTTTCCGGCCACGTTTCCGGATTGCGAGCCTGATTTTCAGCTTTTGTCAATACTGACTTGAAGTTTTTACCCGGTTAGTCCAACCGTTTAATTTTTAATTTGGTCTTAATGGGTATTAATTATGGATTGAAGATGGTAATTTACCCCAGCTTCCTGTAATTTTGCTGTCTACCATTACAATTCAATATTAAAGAATAACAGCGGCAGGAGAGAAATGATCGTCTTGCAATCAAGGAGGCCAAATGTGGAAACCAAATTGCAGATCTCGTCGGTTCCAAAATCTTCACCATCATCTCCTTCTTCTTCATTGGCACAAACTAGTGTTCTATATGGGTGGAAGCCTATCAAGCTAACGACGGCTCTTAGCCACCATTGAACAACCTGGATTTGGCTGAAAACGACACTATTGCCGGAAACCTCCCCCGAGTGGGAGAGTAAGACTCGTATAATTCTTTTGATTAACATAAGCGGCCCTCCTCTGAAATCCCACCATGGCCGGAAACAGTCTACGGTGTGGTACCACAAACGGCGAACTCGCCGGAAAACCTCCACCGTCGAAGAGTATTGGCAATTAATTGCCGGAACAGTTACAAGCCGTTGGCGAGTAATTTGCGAATTTTCAGTCCTAAATTTATTTTGCTTTAATTTTTTTCTATATGTGTAGGTAACGATTAATTGGCATATTTATTGTTTAGTCTCATTTTTATTGCCAAGAATTCATGTCATTAACGGTATTAATCACATGTTCTACAATTTCAAACAATGAAGTCTTCCTTAGTGCATCAACTATGGTTTCTTATTTCTTTAGAAATAGTCAAATAGGGCTATCACCTGGCTCATGAATCAGCTTTGGCCTCAAATCGAAAACGAATAGTCGAGAAAACATTGAACATTTATTCTTCAGATGCCCCCTAGCCACTAGATTGTAGACTTTAGTGGAATTGAGCAACTTTATTGAGACCGCCCTGACTATTAACTTTAGTCTATGGTGGCGACTTGTCATGGTCTATGAGACCTCCCCATTCCACATTCTCCAATGCGTCTGCTTACTTTGGAGAATCTGGAAGTCTAGAAATAAAGTGATTTTTGAATTCTACCAACCTCATGTCCGTTCCCAACCCCACATCTCTCTTCTTCCAAACCATCCAACCACCACTTGGGTCCCGCCGCCAGACGATTACTTGAAGATCAATTTCGACGCTACTGTTTGTGCCACCGGGTGTTCGTCTGTGCTTGTTGTCCTTGGGTCAGACGGACATGTGGTGTTGGCATCGGGTTACAGCATCAAGTAATAGTCAACCCTTCCCTGACAGAGCTCCTAGACATTAGAGATTCTATTTCCATCATCACCTGAAGATCTTTGACTCACGTGATAGTCGAAGGTGATTCTGAAGTGGTCGTCAAGCAGATCCGGCAAGGCATCATAGAAGACTCGATTGGTGGTCCGCTGTTGCGAGAGTGTCGTCAGATCCTTAGCTCTTTGTCCATTTGTATAGATTTTAGGGTGGTTCCTAGAATTGCCAACAGTGCTGCCCATAGAGTGGCGCGTAAAACACGGCTTTTGTCTCGTCTAGAGCTAGAATCTTTCGATTTTTTGGGGTGGCTTCATTAGATTATATTGTAAGGGTCCTGGGTAGATTTGTATGAATAACTCTTGTCTTCTGTTGATATCACTAAAAAAAAAAGACTAATTAAATTCACACAATCACAACAACTAATTACCCATACTATTGGCATATATTTTTGTTAGGTGAATACTTCTATTGACTGTAAAATAATTGTATTAATTGCATGTATATTTGTATGTGTTCAATGTAATGTTTTATTCATCATAAAAATTATGAATTGATGCATTAATCAGAAAAAAAAAATCACTCAATGATAATGTGATGTTATATTGGTTAATTTGGTTAATCAATTAATCAAACCAGTTAAACTTTAGTTTGGTTAATTTGGTTATTGTATTAATATTGACGGATTAGTTATGATATTATATTCCATAATGAATAAAATTTTGGCTTGCTTAGTTTGGTAATTACGATAAGGTAACCATTTTAACACCCCCTATCTAATAGCAATCATGCCTCCACTTCCAGCTAGCAGTAAGTACTCGCTATTCAGTGTACTCACTGTTCCAAAGAACTCGACAGCGGAAACGAAGACGGAGAGAAAGAGGGAATCTTATTCTATCAATCTAAAGCCCTCTCTTTGAACTGTTCTTGTTTCTTGTTACTCTTCATCGAGCAATCAGTCGCTAGGCTAACACCAAAGCATCTTCCCCTATCCACCTTCAATCTTAACGACCCCAGTTCAGCAATACCATTACTCTACTCGTTATTTCCGCCATTTCCTTCGATTTTGATCCACAATCCATCAAAAACCCTACCCGGTTTCGCTTCCCCACCACACATTTGCTTGAGATTTTGTTCTTACCTCCCGTTTCTCTTCTGGGTTTCAAGTGCATGGCTCTGCTTCAGTCCCCTTCTCTTTGCTTTGGCGGCGCGGCTCTCAATTCCCGCCATAGTTCGGCCAGTTTCAGACCTGGAAATCTTAAACCTTCGCCCTTATCTTCCCCTCCTCGAGCCTCCTCTCCTCGCTTGAGTTCCCGATGTAATACGGTCCTCTGATCTGCGCCGTTCCTTTTTCTGTTTCTTGGCATTTGATCGTCTTGGCGATTTCAATAGATCACTAGTTCCGCCACTGTAGTTCGCTCGATTAAAGAATGTTGCTTTACTTTCTGGGTATCTTGAACTTTTCAATTTTCTCTTTAGGTAAAGCGGCTCCCGCAGTTGGTGGCGGGTCGTCTGAGGCAGATGGCTCCTCCCTTGTGGTTTGCTTTGGGGAAATGCTAATAGATTTTGTACCCACAATCAATGGCCTTTCGCTGGCCGACGCACCAGCCTTCAAGAAGGCCCCAGGCGGTGCTCCTGCTAACGTTGCTGTCGGAATTGCACGTCTTGGTGGCACATCAGCGTTTGTTGGGAAGGTAACTTTCTGGTTCTGTTATTTTCTCATGTTAGGATTTAAAATGAAAGAAGTGGCTTTCTGCTGTCAGCTAGCTGATGGTGGTCTCTTGAAAACGAGTTAGGCTTTTCCTATTTGTTTTTCTTCGAGAGAGGCTTTTGATTTCTTGAAATATATGTTCTTTGAAGTAATTAGTTCTATGATACTTCGTATGAGAAGTGATTTGCATACCATTGCACAAATTCCACTTGCTTTGTGTGTTCTCTGCCAAATTGCTTAATGGCCCTGCCCATGTTTGTTTGTGTTGGATATAAGGCTTCTTATGGTTATTGGGAAGTAAATTTCGGTATGAACTGTTTCAGCTGACAAAAAAGGCCAACTTCTGTGTGCTTTTTGGAAAACGGATAACGATGACTTGCTTCTACTTTGAGTATGCGTGATCTTCTCTGTTGACCAGCTTACCATCATCCTTTTCGTTCTACAATTTACTGTTTTCAGAAAGCAGATGACCACGGCATAATCCTTCTTCAGTTTTCAATATGATTTCCTGTTCTATGAAATGTACAGGTCGGGGAAGATGAATTTGGATATATGCTTGCTGAGATATTGAAGGAGAATAATGTCAACAATCAAGGGTTGCGCTTTGATCCTGGTGCAAGAACTGCTCTGGCGTTTGTTACATTAAGGAGTGATGGAGAACGTGAATTCATGTTTTACCGAAATCCTAGTGCCGATATGTTGCTTCAAGAAGATGAACTTGATCTTGAATTGATTAAGAAGGTATATTTATGAATTAGTATTGTGCTAAATGCCTGTAAATGTCTGCATCAAGAACTGTTCATCTAGGATGAAGATACTCAGAACCTGACCATGTGCCTATGACTATTGAAACTGCACATGAGTTGATAAGTGAAAATCTCTGAAAAAAATCAGAAATGGTAGAAAGTATCCTATTGACAAACACCTCCCTGGTCATATTTGCTTCACTTGGAGTTGGAGGTGATCATTGTCAGTTGTAAATGAGAAATGATTAGCAAAACTAATAGTGTAGAGTGTTTGGTCAACTTGGATCTCATTCTCAGTTTAGCTTTGTATTGTACTTAATGCATCTAGTTCAATGCAGCTCAATTCCATGCTCCAAGGATATTAACTCAGCAATTTGTTCTTGTAGATGATTGAAAAAGCTCTTTGTATAGACAGGTATCTTTGGGTTAATCATACCAGTAAGAGAGGAAGTATTGAATTCGTGTTCATATATGTCACTTTATGGATTTAGGAGCAATCTTGTAGAAGCCTGTACTTGGATTTATGAGGCGGCACTTTCAGTTTTTGTTTTCCCCTTTTTGGTTTGAAAATTTGGGCTGCTCATGGTGAATTTAGGTTATGAGTCCTATTAATGCTTGTGTATTTGGTTCTTATGACTGATTGCTACAGGCAAAGATCTTTCACTATGGCTCCATAAGTCTTATAACAGAGCCATGCAAATCAGCTCATATTGCAGCAGCAAAGGCCGCAAAGGAAGCTGGTGTTGTTCTTTCATATGATCCCAATCTGCGGCTTCCTCTGTGGTCTTCTGCAGAGAGTGCTAGAGAAGGCATCCTTAGCATTTGGAATTTGGCCGACATCATCAAGGTAGCGCTGATGCATATTGCAACATGAATTCAATGTCTATACATGCTCCAGTACCTTTCCCTAGTCGAATCGTTCTCCTTTCCGATTTTGTTTTTGCTGATCTTGAAATGCGAGGGTATCCTGTTGTGAACCGCTTAATTTTTCATGTCTTCTTGATCATTCTCAGATAAGCGAAGAAGAGATATCCTTCTTAACGCAAGGAGAAGATCCATATGATGATGCTGTTGTCCGCAAGTTATACCATCCGAATCTCAAGTTGCTACTTGTGACTGAGGGCCCAGATGGTTGCAGGTATTACACCAAGGTATGTCACAACATCAAAATTCACCAACTTAGAAGCCAAAATTTGCAGCCTTTGACAAGTTCTATGGCATTTTTTCATGACTTAAGCAGTATGAGCACTGTATGTTGAAATTGCAACTCTATAATTTCTCTCTGCAGGAATTCAGCGGCAGAGTGAAGGGCTTAAAGGTGGATGCTATTGACACAACCGGTGCCGGAGATGCTTTTGTGGCTGGAGTACTGTCTCAACTAGCACGGGATTTATCTTTGCTTCAGGTATCAACACTCAACACGAGTTAACAGGCAGAAGAGTGGTAGTCTTTGTCTTCTGCAGCTTTTTTTGTGGAAGTACTTACCAATAACCCATCTTCTCTGCTGACTGGTTTTGCTAATAAAATCATTGTAGAACGAAGAGAAGTTGCGAGACGCTCTCAAGTTTGCCAATGCCTGTGGTGCATTGACTGTGATGGAAAGAGGTGCAATCCCTGCATTGCCAACCAGCGAAGCTGTAGCGAATGCAGTCCTTAAGATCGTGGCATGAAAGGTTTGTTGTTTACTAGTAGTAACTTTAGAGCGAAATCCATATTTTTTTTCCGGCAAATGTTTGATAATCCGATCCATGTAGCTAGTTCAGTTCATGCCCTGATGAATGTCGTGTTAACGACAATAACCCTGCTCACTCTGGTACTGTAGTCTGTATCCGACGGAGCAGTCACACTGTAAGCAGTTTTTGATGTATTGTGTGTTATAAATGTATTCATGTCCTGTATGTAGCATCATGGGAACATTTTGGTTATGCGTTGCTGTCATAAATGTAAAAGTTTGAAAGTGATGCTCTTGGAGGGCCTACCAGCCGTGTTATGCCAATTGGTTAGGTAATGATCCCATTCAGAATTAGTTCATCTGATCTGATTGAAATGAGTCGCTAACCTAAAAGAATGCCAACCTTGAATTTGACTGACATCTGTCTCTTTATTAATTGCTGCTGCTGTTCAACCTCCCCTCTCCCTAACTTGCTTTGATGGGACCAGAATGAATGAAGCTCTAACTCGATTGTTTGGTATTTGGTTAATGGAATGTCTATGTCTATTTTCAGCATAGCATTTAATAAGGGTTATGCTATGCCTCAATCGCTAGCAAGGAGCTATTAATACATGTGTTGATGTTGTTGGATCGATCTTCTTGGCGTTGTATATACTTGTGGGATAGTTATGTGAATTCTTCGTTCTATCTTTTGCATTTACGAAAAAGTAGGAGTCTAATGGAAGGATTGAAGGTTGTCAAACAAGTTTAAACCATTACGGATAAGCAAGTGGTACAGTCCAATAAGGGGTTTACTATGTCAGTTCTAATAGAATTGGCGGGAAAAATGAGTAGCCATCAACACCAAATAAATTATGCATATATAGTCTATCTCAAAACGTTGAATTAAATTTCTCGCATTACTCATATGCCAAATGATACAACGAGCTACACTCTAATGGCTCTAGTAAGGAGTAGCTCACAGCTGCACAAACTACTCATTTTTATCTCTTTATATCTATACTATTGCTCAATACAATGTTGCCAAAATTAACAAATCCTTCATAAGTAAACCAACCAAGACTTTTACGTCACGTCTTGCTTCACCATGAGTACATCGACATCGCTCTCTTAGCCGAGTATTGCTCCAGTGGTTCAGAGTCCCACATAACCACCGAACCACATCATTTTGCTTTACCCAGCCCGCACCAAGCGCAGGTTCATTTTTAACCTTCAAAAGTGTGTTTTAACTTTCATTACATGAAATTTTGTGTTTTCTAACTACACTTTTAAATTGGATTAACAATTGTATTTTGGTGCTTAAAGTTCACATGATTTAAGTGACCTCTATAACACATAAATTTAAGTTTCATAATATAATTTCGAACTTGGATAGTTTTAAAAGATTTATGCACGTGAAATTATGCACGCGACAAAGTACGTGAATGTGTCGTTCCTCCGCGAACAAAGGTTTTTGAGAGTGCTTTCAGCCACTAGTTTCTCATCTCAACCAACATCATTGGCATGCCTGAAATCCCGCCATTCTTCCTCCATTTTCCCCTCATCAATTCCTCAAAACTCATCCTCCTTAAATCCCCAACACAAACAATCGATCAATCAGATTTGAAAGCCAAAGGGAAGACACAAAGAAAAGAAAAAAAAGTTTCTTTTTTCCTCTAGTTTTGAACAAGAAGAATTAAAAATCAAAAGAAGAGGGAATAAAATTTAATTACTCTTAACAACAATCTAATCCAGAGTAATAAGAAATGGCTGACGACGAAGCACAGGAGCAGGCGGACAGGGAGCGCATCTTCAAGCGCTTCGACCTGAACGGCGACGGGAAGATATCGGCGACGGAGCTTGGGGACTGCCTGAAGACGCTGGGGTCCGTGACGCCCGACGAGGTGAAGCGGATGATGGACGAGATCGACACCGACGGCGACGGCTACATTTCGTACCAGGAGTTCACCGATTTCGCCTTGGCCAATCGCGGCCTAATCAAAGACGTCGCCAAGATCTTCTAAAAGAAATTTCATTTTCGTTTCGTTTTTTTTCAAACCCTAAATTTTTTGGATTACTTTTCCGTCCCACATTTCTTTCATTTTTGTCTTCTCGTGTTTGAATGTTGACCCTAGTAGTAAATTTCTGCAACTCCATTTTTCGATTAAGGATTTGAGGCTGCTGGGTGCAGATTCTTGATTGTGACAGTAAGCTGTATTTTTTTTCTTCCTGAATGGTTGCTTTGGTGGTTTAAACTGCCTCTTCAATTGGTTAGAGGAAATGTTTGTTTGGTTTGTCCGAGCCGCCGCTTAATTCAGCCACAGCCCAATGAGGACACGAAGAAGGCAAATCCAAACGTCACAAATAGATTAAAAAAAACCACTTAATAAATTTTTACTTTTAGTCCAAATTGACGGTCAAAACTATGTGTCGGGCTAATTGAGTCTATATGTTGCATAGTTGAGGTCAGGATGTTAATTTCTGAAACCAATGACAAAAGTTGATTATATGATCATAGTTGAGGTCAGAATAAGGTATTAACCCCATTTTTAAATTATTTTTTTTTTGGTAGAAACATTTTTAAATTATTAAGACAAATATGGCCCGACTGTAGGGGCGATCGTTACCCGTGTCAACAATTAGTGACGCGAGAGAGGTTGGTTACGACGTAAATATTTGAAAGTCCGTATAGATTGTTTTTAATTTACAAAAAAATTGTTTGGCTTTATAAACTATCTCCTTAAATTACAAAACACATTGCGAAAAAAATTGATATATAAAAGTTTTGGTCGTTGGATTACTACTTCTATTAATAGGGGTGTTCAAATGGTTATCATGGTAATAACCAAACCAAATAAGCCTAAATTCTATTAACCATGGAATACAATATCATAACCAAACCATCCAAACTAATACAACAACCAAATTAACCAAACTAAAGTTTATTCGGTTTGGTTAACTGGTTAACCAAAATAACCAATATAACACCACATTATCATTAAGTGAGAAAAAATTTCAGTTAGTGCATCAATTCACAATTTATATAATGAACAACACATAACAATCCACATAATTGTAGTTAACCCTTGACGTAAATACATGTTACAAATACAATTATCTTACATTTGACTCTTGAGTGGTTATGCAAAGTATTAAGTATGTGTATATAATATATATTAGATATATGGCTAATTACTTAACTGGTTAATTTGGTTTGATTGGTTAGAAGTGTCTGAAACCAAACCAAACCACCTGAACCAAACAAACTAAATATTTTAACCAAACCAAACCAAATTAGCCAAATACCACTGGTTAAAATGATTACCACGATAACCACACCGTTTCAACACCCAGTTCTAGAAATAATTCGAACTTTAGGGGCATTCATACGGGACCTTGGTTATGAGCTTACTATTCATTAAGCAATATTTCGCAAAATTGTTGGGCAACTCTCCCAAACATTTTTGTGAATTTTATTTTTACTTTTGCAATAATGTCTTATAAATTATATTTTTTGTACTAATTTTTTCATACAACACATTTACAGTGCCATTTTGCACTCACTCACACTATATCCAGTTTTTATGATAAATAAGTGTGTTATTTACTCTATTTTTCTTTTCCCAAGTGGTATAGGGTGTCCTTTCATTTGGTCACATATTGGAGCAACATTCATGGCTGTCATGGCGATTGTGCTGTTCTGCTACAATTATTGGCCTTGTAGTATTCATTCAGAAAGCATAAAGTAATCGATTTGTTGGCCTGTGAATGAATTATGAAGGGCTGTAGTACATACATGAATCCTTTTTCTTTTTTCAAGTAAGTAGCGATGGGGGAAACAACCGGACAGAACAGAAGCAGTGAAATATGTTTGGTCAGTTCAGTTCAGTTCAGGTCCGTGAATGATAGCAGAGGAGCATCTTCTTCAATGGTCATCCATGAAATAAACTTTCACGAGTTCTTCTACTGTACCGATACTAGCACCGGGTCCGGCCCGTTGGCCGGATGTGTGATTATTATGTATTTTGGTATGTGTTGCTATCGCTTATAATGTGTGTAGATAGCAAAGGTAGGTAACTAATACGATATATATATGTTTACAAAGAAAGAGTTTATGATTGATCTTTGATATAGTCCCATATTTTCATGATTGATCTTTGTTATTTTTGTTGATCCTGACACATGTTATAAATATGAAATTGTTTCATTTGAATAGACACGTTGCGGATTGATAGTCACAATCGAATGAGCTAAAGTTTGATATTCTGCCTCCCAAGTTTCAAATTCACCTAATAAACTCAAAAGAAATTTCGGGCATAAATCCAAGTACTATAATAAATTGAAAGCTAAATATCATCAATATCTTATTATTCCACCACCACCGAAAGAGGCAAATATTTTAAATCTCACATAAGGAGAAAAGTTTGATAACATATCCAACAAAATTGATACAATCGTTACCACAACAGGTCAATGAGTCAGACTCCTCCTACTACCAAAGTTTTATCTCCAAGTTGTTACCTGGCTAATTGCCATATTTAATTGTTACATAAATTAAAATAATTAATTATAATCATCTAACGATCTGCCTCATCTCTCCGTAATCTTTTTGTTGAGTATATAATAAAAAGTAATTTAATACTCTATTTATCGACTCTCCATTGAAATCTTCGGTATCTTCAAAATATAGTGAAGTCGTGATTTGGCGTAAAAATATCCACAACTGTGGATACCTCGTTCAAATCCGACCTAATTGAGTAGGGTAAAACTTGAACAAAAGGATTTTTAGTGAGTACGGATAAAACGTGAATCTGAATATTGCGAGTAATTGGTAGGCATAGTTTTATCACTACCCAAGCTCATTCAATTACATACATGCATATGTATTTTATCTAAGAAAATTATTATTATTATTCTTAACATATTATGTTTATTATATATATATAATTATTTTTAACTAATTTTCTTATTTCTAGTGATTCATGGTCATATTTTCCACTTATGTAATGTTATTCTACGTGTAATGTTACCCAACATATGGATATGCTAAATTCGATAGGATATGGACATTATTTTGATTGTCTACCCAATTATTTTTGTCTGTATGAGTTTCAAACTATTTTAGGTAGGATAATGAATATTGTCATTGGAATCGGAGTTGCTCACGTTCTTTTTCGGAGATGTCATCAAACTTAACTTGGAATAGATCGAACACTATTTTGGTCATGTCTTAACCTTAGGGTTAAAATCAGAACCTGGTATGAGAATTCAAGTTATAGGTTCGAGAGTACGGTTATGTGAGAAAGAGAGCCCTACAACCTTCAACACTCTAAATTGGTACTACTTGCTCACGTTCATTTCCAGAGTTGTCATCAAACTTAACTTGGAATAGATCGAACACTATTTTGGTTTGGTCTTAACCTTAGGGTTAAAATTGGAACCTCGTATGCGAATTCAAGTTATATGTTTTAGAATACGGTTATGTGAGAAGGAGTGCCCTACACCCTGCAACGCTCTAAATTGATACTACCTATTTCTGCAACACTCTAAATTGGTACTACTTAATCTATATAATAGGGTAAGTGTATTATTACTTGTCACTTATTTAATCATTTAATTAGATTAATTTAGGATTAGATACGCTTAATATGAAAGATTTTTTCGGTGATGTAAAAGGAAAGAGATTATGAGTTTTATTATTAAAAAAAAAGAGATTTTGAGAATTTGGTAATTTACAAAGGGTAAAGGTAAACACGCTGGGGAGGGGAGGGGTATAAAAATTTCTCTTAAAGTTAAACCCTAATTCACTGCCGCCCAACCCTCTCTTGAACAGTCTTCTTCTTCCCTTCCGATCTCTCGCCCACCCTCTGATCTGATGGTGAAGCCGCCAGCTTAACACATTTCCTCTCATCCCTCATTACCTCGGTCGGAGCTTCAAAGGCCGTAGTCATAATGACGTTATGGCTTCTCGTTGTAGTTAGAACTGACGGCGGTGGATGCCGGCACGATGACAGCGGCGACGAAGGTAAGAAGTGCTTTGTTGGTTTGCATGTCGAATTTAAGGACTTTTTTTATGATTTAGGGATCCGACCTTTAATTTTTGTGGTTTTGCTTATCGTGAGGGGAAGAGGAAAGGGCCGCCGACTTGGATCTCTCGGCCGGATGCTCTGAAGGTGAAGCCGACAGCTTCTCTCATCTCCTCCGCCGGAGCTTCAAAGTCGCGATGGGATGATGGCTTCTTGCGGTGCTGAGAACTGACGGCGATGTACGCCGGCGATGATGATGACAGCGGCGGCGAAATTAAGATATGTTTTTGTTTGTTTGCATGTCGATTTTTAGGTTTTTGTTTGTGATCTAGGGTTATGACATTTCATTTTTTTCGTTTTGATTATCGAGAGTGGAAGATGAAAAGGTCGCCGACTTGTATGTCGACGGTGACTGGATTACTGGTCGGATTTTTTGTCGGTTTGTTTTTTGACCCATTTGTGGAGGAATGGGCCTTTGAAAACTAAAATGCACAGCCCACTGCCACAGTCAGGCCCTTATCCATCTGTGGAGCTCGGTATTGGCCTTTGAAAAGCAAAACGCACAACATCATTTATTATGTTGCAAAATGACATATAAACCCTTCCGTGAATCACTCCCGAGGCTGCAAATTCAAAATGGTGAAATTGGACTGCAATAGCCCAATATCAAGCCCTATTTTCTAACAGAAGAGAGGCCTGGCCCAGATGTTGGGTTGTCAAGTTGATGGGCAGAGGAAGGTGCAAAACGCACAGCCTCATTTAAGTCCAAGGCAATTACAAAAATGCCCCTCCGTGAAGTGCTCTAAGGGCTGGAAATTCAAAATGCTGCAATCCCAACCCATGAATCTCCTTTATATCTTTTGTAGATTGCCCTCAGTGTTCATTTACTGTTTGTATGTTCCACCACCATATTACCACTATGTAAGAGTACATCACATGATTATAGTACACTAGTTATATTTATTATATTAATATTATGATAATTTCGTGATATGACA